ATCTTCTTCTCCAGAAGCATTGGGCCAGGAAAGATGAAACTCAAGTGGAATTATCCTCAGGTAGTGTAGATTGAAGTTTTTTCAAATCATGACCCCCCGGGGTAGGGCGGGGCCACAATGGCTGATCAAAGTTTTACATAGGAATATATAGGAAATTTTTTTTAAAAATGTTCTTCAGAACCATTGGACCAGGAAAGATGATACTTATGTGGAATTATACTCAGGTAGTGTAGATTCAAGTTTGTCAAGGCCCCTGGGGGTAGGGCGGGGCACAATGGCTGATCAAAGTTTTACATAGCAATATATATGAAAAATCTTTAAAAATCTTTCCTCCAAAACCATTGGACCAGGAAAGATGACACTAATGTGGAAGCATCCTCAGGTAGTGTAGATTCAAGTTTGTTCAAATCATTACCCCCGAGGAAAGGGCGGGGTCACAATGGCTGATCAAAGTTTTACATAGGAATTCATAGGATTAATCTTTTAAAATCTTCTTCTCAAGATTAGCAAAGCTATGATTGGTGATAATAATAAGGAAACATCCTCAGAGTTAATTCAAGTTTTTCATATCATAACCCCTTGGGGTAAGGTGGGGCCATAATGGGCAATCAAATCTTTACATAGAAATATATAGGAAAAATCTTTAAAACTCTTCTTCTCAAGTATGGCATAATTATGCATGTATGCTTTATTGATATAGTGATATTCTCAAGTAATGAATAATTCACACACACACACCCTCCCCCAACAAGTAAACTTTTCAATACTGAGCTGATTCGTGTTTTTTAACTAGCCCATGTGCTCAGGTGAGTGATGTGGCCCATTGGCCTCTTATAATTACATTTTCATGATGAAGAACTAGTTTGAAGTTTTTATATAGGTCTATTCCAAAATATCTGATCAAAATTGCATAAATTTTGCATTTTTGGATGTACACTTTTTGTTGGTTAATTGTGTGACATTGCCTGACCTAAAGACAACATTTGTTGAGGTGAGGTCTGTAATCTCTGATTACCTATGTTTGTAATTATGACACCACAATGGGTGAGACATAACAATGCCCCGAGTGTGGATCTACTGTACATTGATATATTGTAACATACATGTTAATACCCATTCTCTGTAACCACTTAAACTTTTGTGGCACGCATAGTCACAGATTTTTTTCAAATTTGGCTGGAAAGTACCACCTCATAAACTACTTCAAAAAATATAGTTAGATCATATGAATGTTGAGTAGTTACCATGGAAACGGTGTCTAAAGTTGATTTTTCCTGAAAAAATGCAATATTTGGGAAAGTTTTTTAATGAAATGTGGCTACTTCAATTCATGTTACTCACAGAAATGAGAAATATAACATTTAATTTTGAAAGGCATGTTAAAATCTTGTTGGTATTCCCTCTATAAATATGAGAATTCTTTGATTAAAATAGCAGACATTAGCTTTGAAATTGAATTATCTCCCTTTGATAATTGTGAGCTCTTCAGTGAGAAAGATAAAAAAATCATTGTACACAAATGACTGGAAGTTGTTTACATATTGTCAGCATACAGCTTTGTATATCCTGGAATTCAAGTAAAATCAACTGTTTTTTCCTGTTTATTTAATGTGCATACAAATTTTAGCCTCTGTTTATATCCTACATGCAAACGAATAATTTTGATATGTGAAAAATGGTGAAATGTACAAGCTAGACTACATAGTACAGGAAATCAGCTCTGTACATAAGCATTAGTGTCAAGGTCTAAAGAGTTTCAAAACGGGAGTCAAGATAAACTTGAAATATCAGTATTATAAATTTGTGTTTTTTAAAGAATTACTGTGTCTCACGATCAGTCAGAGTGATATACTGGAGGACTGCAATGAATACAGCGTTAGAAAGCAAATGAGTTTTTAAACTGAATGTTATTATATAGAGACTGATAATTTTTTTAAAAACTGAAAATGTCTTTGGCTGAAAGGAAAAAAAAATTATACTGAATAATATCTACAATTCCCATCCACAGGTCATTTTTTCAGCAATGATTTTTTAAACCCTTGGTATAATACGTATCATATATGGGTTAGAAAATTGTTACCTATACAAGCACCCCCCCCTTCCCAAACGGAAAAGTGTTTGGACATTTTATTTATTATTATTGTTTTTTTTTTCTTTGCTCTTCAGACTTTTTCTGTGAAGAAGAAAATTGATAATTTTCCCTAAAGATCATCTTGGAAATGAATGATATGTCCTGCCATGAAAATAAACCTAACTTAAACCCCCCCCCCCTTTCTGGATCAAAGGTCGTCCCCTAACCAATGGTAAACGCAGTCAGCAGTCATATTATGTAAATTTAAACAGGATAAACAAGTATAAAATGTTTTGTTAACCAGTCAAAAATATACTTTTGATGACTGAGGTCACCTGAGTAACATGCAACAACTTTCGAACAATTGAATTCGGTTCATGTTTTAAACCAGAGGCCATGATTCACAATTTTAAAAGAGGCACCATTGCTTATCATAATTATACACATAGCATGCTTACTCTAGTTGTATAGTACCCAGAGGTACAGTCCCTAAAATGTTCTACTTTCCCACCTGAACGGTGAATGAACTGTGAATGAATGCTGAAGAAACACAGAGTGAACGGTGAGTGAACGATGTGCGAAAGCTGAACGCAACTTGGTAAACGGTGAGTGAATGCAGAATGCAAACAGAGCGTGAACGCAAGCGCAAAGTGAAGGGTGAATGAACCGTGAGCGCAAGATGAACAATTTATTCAGAATGCCTCTGATCTTTTCCTTGCATTGAAATTATTCTATTACTCTATAATTCTAATTTCAGGTGCTAAAATATAGATAAACAATAGATGAATAAATAAATAATAAAAACCTTTTTTTTTCTGCACATATGTATGTTTAAAATTGATATTTTAATAACAGGATTTTAATTGCCATAAAAAGTGTATTTGTTACCGAACACGCATAGTATAAATATAAAATTAATCCACTTATATAGTAAATATGCTTATTATTTCAACTAATAAAATAATGTGTGGACTTTAGAAGATAAAACTACTATTTATAGAATGAATTAATTACGTTGTACCCAGTTGAAACAACCATACATGTATTTCCGTACCAAGGCGATTCTGAGTAAAATAATGGATTTTTTTATTAACAAATGTCTGTTGACATAATGCAGAATACACTTTATACTTATGTGCAGCCAAAGTTGTCACGTGTTCAAAAATTATGGTCACGTGATTTGTTGGTATAAATAGCAGTTCACAGGGTTGGGCGTTTATCTAAGCTCGCTCAGTTCTTTGAATATCAAGTTGTTAGGTACACTGTATTAAGATTATTTTGTGTAAAAAATGGACGATATACAAATGGAATCTTCTGTAGATGATTTGAAATTGGCATGTATCTTGAGGTTATTTGCATATTGAAAATAAAGAGCTAGTGAGCAGCATCCTGTTTACGACACATGTGTTTGTTGATTATTTAGCACTTAATTGATTTATATTTGGACAATGAAGTGAGGGAGAATATAACATATTTTAAAATTCTAATGCAAAATATTACTTATTTATGTGTCATTTTTATTCTTTTATGATGATTATTTTAGCAAACTTCTACATGTATCTGTAGACATTTCCCGGCCATGATTATACTCGGACAAGATGATGGAAAGAGGCAATCAAACTATTTGTAATAGATTAAAGTTTCAAAACTAAAAAAGTAATGTGCTATCATAGTTTTTATTGAACAAAGAAATGTACAAGAGAGGGAGAGAGAGATGGAGATACCCCCCTACATTCTTAGATATCTGTTGTATCAAATAAAAATTCTTATTAATTTTTTTAGCTCACCTGAGCCGAAGGCTCAAGTGAGCTTTTCTTATCACATTTTGTCCGGCGTCCGTCTGTCTGTCTAGCTGTCTGTCCGTCTGTCTGTGCAAACGTGTCCAGTCCATATCTTTCTTATGGATAAACTTTGTAGGTTCTAATTTCACACAAAGATTGCTCATGACCTAAGGGTGTGTCATGACCTTGACCAAAGGTCATTTTGGGAAGTTCAAGGTCACTGGAAGAAAAATTTCATAATTCGTGTCTGGTCCATATCTTTTTTATGGACAAACTTGGTAGGTTCTAACTTCACACAAAGATTGCTTATAACCTAAGGGTATGTCATGACCTTGACCCAAGGTTATTTGGGGAAGTTCAAGGTCACTGGAAGAAAAATTTCATAATTTGTGTCTGGTCCATATCTTTCTTATGGATAAACTTGGTAAGTTCTCATTTCACACAAAGATTTCTCCTGACTTAAGGTTGTGTCATGACCTTGGATCAAGGTCATTGAGGAAGTTCAAGGTCACTGGAAGAAAAATTTTATAATTCGTATCAGGTCCATATCTTATGGATAAACTTGGTAGGTTCCTATTTCACATAAAGATTCCTCATGACCTAAAGGTGTGTCATGACCTTGATCCAAGGTCATCTGTGCAAGTTCAAGGTCACTGAAAGAAAAATTTCATAATTTGTGTCTGGTCCATATCTTTTTTATGGAAAAACTTGAATCTACTACCTCACACAAACATTGCTTATGACCTGAGGTTGTGTCATGACTTTGAACCAAGGTCATTTATGCAAGTTCAAGGTCACTGACAGAAAAAGTTCATAATTCGTGTCTGGTCTGTATATGTAGTCTTTTTTTTTTTTTTTATTAGGCTGCGCCTTTGTTTCATTTATAAAAAATATAATGAGCAATTACATTTGCACTAAAAATGTTTTAGCATTTCTCTCTTCTCTTTGATCCATAAAATATTCATGATTTAGCACTTCTGAAAAACCCAGCGGGGGGTATTTTGTCCTGTTTGGACAGTTCTAGTTTCAAAATTGCGAATATGTGAACCAAACTTAATCATTGGAAAGTTGTTGCATGATACTCAGGTGACCTGTAAGGCCCATGGGCCTCTTGTTTAAACTGTAGTAATGAAGTCAATTTCTTACAGAGCCCAGCAGTATAGAGAATGTACAGGTGATAGAAATGCCTATCATTGACAGCCTTCATCCTCGACCAGATTACCTCCCCCTGTCCTTTCCAAAGGACTTGGCAGACCGTTTAATCCGTGTCCATGGTGACCCCACTGTATGGTGGATTGGACAATTTGTAAAATACCTCACAAGGCCTCAACCTCATCTGAAGCAGGAGCTAAGGCGAGCCAAGCAAGAACTGAACTTTGTGGGACCTATTGTTGGGTAAGAAAAGGGAGGGAATCAATTAAGTTGGAATTTTTCATTAGGAAAGCAGAAAAGTGTTGAATTTTTCTAATACTACCAGTAACTGTTTACGAATTTATAGATGAATATTTTTAGCTTCACTGATAAAATCCCAGAGCACCTTATGTGAAGGTAAGGTGCACTGGTGTCAATCCATTTATCGAGCTGTCTATTTTAATACCATTTTCCAAAATGATATACCCTTTAGCTTCAAAGTTTTCTCAGCAAATACAACAGATGTTTGAAAATTTAGTAAGCTCTTTGTTTGGGTATGCCAAATGGTTGGAGTCATTTTTGTATGAATCTGATGTCAACTTTCTGTTTATCAGGAATTTTTTTTATAGTTTCCTCAGTAACTACTCATTGCAGTTGTTTGAAATTTTAGCCACTCTTTGTGAAGGGATGCCATGTACAGATTTTTGTTCAAATTCATTGTCAACTTCCTGTTTATCCCTGTGTCTGTCAGTAACTGAACTTGTGTACTTTCACATCAGATTTAGGTGATATTCACATCACATCAATTTTTGGGGAAATTCACATCACTTCAGAGTTAGGGGATATTCAAATCAGAGGGGACATTCCCATGAGAAGGGATATTCACATCAGAGGGACATCAGAGCTAGGGGATATTCACATCAGAGTTTTGGGATATTCACTTCAGGGGAAATATTCACTTCAGAGGGGATATTCATATTAGAGGGGATATTCACTTCAGAAGAGATATTCACATCAGAGGGACTTCAGAGCTAGGGGATATTCTCATCAGAGTTAGGGGATATTCACATCAGAATTTAGGGGATATTCACATCAGAGGGACATGAGAGCTAGGATTTTAGAGGGATATTCACTTCAAAAGGGATATTCATGTCAGAGGGGATATTCACTTCAGAGGGGGTATTCACACCAGAGCTAGGGCATCTTCACATCAGAGTTAGGAGATATTTACATCAGAGGGGATATTCATATTAAAGGGATATTCTCTTCAGAGGGATCTTCACATCAGAGTTAGGAGATATTTACATCAGAAGGGATATTCATATTAGAGAGATATTCTCTTCACCCGCGTGGCGCAGTGGTTAGAGCATCTGCTCTAGAGTCGCGAAGTAAGGAGTCAATCCTTATGTCATGGGTTCGAATCCCACTGTGGGACGTGGAGACCGGTCCTTCGGATGAGACCCTATAAACCGAGGTCCCGTGTCTCAGTAGGTGCTGGCACGAAAAGGATCACTCCCTGCTCAATGGCCCTGAGTGCTGAGTATAGGACAAAATTTGCAGCTCTCCACCGGCAAGTGGTGGCGTCTCCATATGAGTGAAAAATTCTTCAGAGGGATATTCACATCAGAGCAGGGATATTATTAGTGAACATTGGTGCACAGAATTCTTGTTTTGGTCTGAATTTAAAAAATCTTAAATTACATAAAGGTACACAATTCTACTCATCTTTTTTTCAACGTGTCCATGAAACAAATGTAGAATTTTCAGCTCACCTGAGGTGTCTGTGGTCCGTCTGTCTGAACATCTGTCCAGCTGTCTGTAAACTTTTCACATTTTCATCAACTTCTCAACAACACTAGGCCAATTTCAACTAACTTGCCACAAAGGATCCTTGGGTGAAGGGGATTCAAGTTTAAGAATTAAAGAAAATTTGATGGCATCATTTGAAAGTCTTCTTCTCTTAAGTTTATTAGTTAAATGCTGGACTTTGCTTTAATTAAAGATAACTTTCATTGATGTGAGCTCAGTTATCATAGGCCTATGTTTGAGTCAAATGTTTCAAAGAAAAAAGAGAGACAAGTGGTCATTAGAGACTAATATTATATGGTATAAGCAGAATTTTTAGCAAGGATGTAATTTTGGCATTATTATTGAATATCACTAAAAGTTAATTATACCCCTGCTTCGAAGGAGATGGGGGTATACTGTTTTACCCTTGTGTGTCTGTCCGTCCATCTGTCTGTCCATCCTTGTGTCTATCCGTAACAAATTTTCATCGCAGTTTTCTCAGCAACTACTCATCGCAGATGCTTGAAATTTTAACACAATCTTCTCTGAGGCATGCAGTGGGATACGTTTTTGTTCAAATCCGATGTCAACTGCCTATTTGTCTATGCATCTGTCCGTTTCATACATAACAAATTATCGTCGCAGTTTTCTCATCAACTATTCATAGCAGATGCTTGAAATTTTAGTACACTCTTTGTTGAAGCATCTCATATGGTGGGATTAATTTTGATATGAATCAGATGTCAACTTCATATTTTTCTGTGCATCTGCCAGTAAATGAACTTGTGTATATTAACATGATAGTGTTTATTCATATCTGAGAGCGGGGGTATTACTTGTTATTTGTAATTGTTTTCTCAGAGAACATTTTAATCTTGCTAAATTTACTTCCTGCAAAAAAATAAAATACCAATATTCAAGGACTCAAATCACTAAATTTGTGTCACGCTAAAATTTTCACTTTAGGCCACACCAATAAAATTTTTTGTTTGTTGGACCCTCGCGCTCGTATTTAAACAAAACTTCACAAATAATAATAATTTAAATTTTCCGCATCATGTGAATTCTGAGCTATTTTCTATTCCATTTCCACTCTATTTATCATATTTTTTATCTACTTACTCTTCAAATCAGAAAAAAGTATAATTGTCCGCTCAGATTTTTTCATGCCCCGCCTAAAAATTTTGTCTACTAATAGTAATAATATTATTTTTTAACCACTTGCCCGCTCTTACTTTTTTCATACAATGTCCAACGAACAAGAAATTTAATTTATGTGGCCTTATACAGTAAAACTCGGTTATAGCGAAGTCCTGGGGACCTGTGAATTTAATTCACTTTATCAGTAATTCGTTATATCCGTATAACGAATTCGTAAAACCATTTATAGCGAAATCGCAATATGCATGTTTTTTCCTTCAAGTATTACTACCAAATATGTAGGGAAGTGAATCCTATAAAACATACCTTCGATAACTAAGGTTTTATTATGAATTGAATTTTATATACAAGTGCTAAAAGAAAATAAAGTCAGTTCAATTTATCAAATTTTGAGATCTTTGAAAATTCGTTATTTAAGGTTTTATTATGAATTGAATTTTATATACAAGTGCTAAAAGAAAATAAAGTCAGTTCAATTTATCGAATTTTGAGATCTTTGAAAATTCGTTTTAAAAGATGTAAATTTCATTATATTTAACCTCAACGGAACTCAGAATCAGTTCGCTATATCCGTAAATTCATCATAACCGTAAAATGTTACAAAGATTTGTTAAGAATTTTGCCGGGAACCCCGAAAAACTTCGCTATATCCATGAATTTGCTATATCTGTGTTCGTATAAATGAGTTTTATTGTCTAAGCAGTGCTCCAAGTTGCGACTAAAATGGTCGCATTTGCGACCACAAAATTGATTTTGCGACTAGAAATGAAAACACACTCGCATTTTCTCGACTGAGAAAATTTGGGCTGGAAATGTCCAATTTTTAAGATCGGGATTGAGATTTCATTTGTAAAGATTCTCTATCAAGAAAATGTTTGAAGACATACACTTAAATACACTTTACAAAGCGTTGCATGGACTTAGATCACGTAATGTTATGACAGCATGGCATGCTGTACAAAGTTTGATAGAACCTGAACCAGAGACGTGGACAAATAATGTTTCTGATAGAATGGCATCCAAACTTCGTACACTTTTTAAGATCCGACATTGTTATTGAAGCATTTGATCAATTTCTTGCATATCACAATAAATCATGATTGTATTATCATGCTAATAAAGAGTGTTTTGGCGGCATTTATAATGACTGTGTAATGGGTTACGTACGTAGTAGTAAGTAAACATGACAAACAGCAGGCAAAGTCCTGTCTCAAAAACTGTCAAGCTTGTATTTTCATTTGATAAAATTTCTGTTATCAGATTACTTGTGTTCTTCCGTATAACCATAAGGGTACATGTATTCAATAAAAATATTTCATGCAACATAGCAAATTTTTATAGTCACAGTAATAGGTAATCTATGATATAATAAAGACAATACATATCCTTATTTAAATTATCAAGTTTTATTCACAAAATGTATTTTTTTATGGCGACTGAAATATTTGATTATGGCGACCAGAAATTCTGAAATGGCGACCAAAAATATTTTTAGGTCGCCATTTTGCGACCTGAGAGCAAGTGTGACTTGGAGCACTGCTAAGGTTTTTTCAAAAGCGGTAGAATAAAACATCGTGTGCAGTTCCAAATGGGGTCTGAATCTCTCTTTTGTGTTACAGTAGATAAACATAGAGATATGTATTCTGTTGAAAAGACTGCAGCATTGCATATAGATTCTGCTGTAAAACTTCTACTGTGACACCATTGTTAATTTTCTAAAACTTTTGAAAATATGAAATTCAAAAACTCTTGTATTGAAATAGAGTTATTAGTTAGGGCTCTGCATTGTTCCGCAGTGAAATGTAACACAACATGACTCCTGACTTGATAGCAGTTGATGCATTTTCAGAAAACACCACAATGGTAAGAGTGTCGTCATACATGTTAACCTATTGTGATGAAAAATAGGGAGATTCAGACCCTAAAAGCGGTAGCGTTGCGTGCGCGTTGTTTTACGCTTGGATTATCGATATATTTCATGTAATATACATTTAAAAGAAACCTACAATAATTAATCTTAAATATCAACTGCACTTAAAAGAAGAAGACAGAAACACTTTAAGTTTGACATAAATTGTAAAAATTCAAATATTTTTCATGCTCATCATTTTCCTTGGATTGGCTGTTTAACTTAGCCTTTTGAAGAGTTATCTCTGCTGATATAGCCTAGAAGCAATAATTCTGAATGCATGTTCACCCAGTTGTTAAACAAAACAAATGATGACATGGTTTAAACTAGATCTAAAACAAATTAAGTTCCTATCTTTCGTTATATAAATCAGATTTCCCACGATGATCTAAATCGAAAGTAGAGA